AAAGGAAAAAAAAAACTGTTTTTTTTTTTGTGTTTTAGGAGGGAAGCCAGATGAGCCCCAAAGTAGAGCCTCCCCTCACAAACGTGTCCTAGAGGGTTCTTAGTCTCCTTCGTAAAAGAATTTAAGAATGGACCCAAACAGAAGCCTTTACAATTTCATTACAATTTTAAAGAAAAATCCTCAGGTCAGGCGAGCTGGTCACCTTGACAACTGCCTTGAGGGGGTGAATGGTGGGAAGAAGGAAAGAAAGCCATGCAAGTTTGCAGGCTGTGGAGGACGTCAGACACGTGGCCGTAAGAAGGAAGAAAATGCTTTTCAGAAAAGGAAAAGAATTGCAAGATGCTGGGGGCAGCCCAAAGCCTTGAAGAAAGCGTGTTTAGAAAACGGATATGGAGAAGGAAGGGAGAAATTATGCTTTCCTGATGAATTCAGAAAAGCTGGAAGACTCACAAGACCTGTGAGTGGTACTGAGTTCAGGACCCCCCGACAGACCACCAGACTCAAGAGAAGTGGAATTAGCCAAACATCCGAATATTTTCTTTTACTATTAATTAAATCTGTTCTTTGACAATTTTGCACATACGTGCAATACGTTCTAATGACCCGGGCCTTAGCCTGTGGGATGTGTGTGCGGTTTGTCCTCCACTCCCAATATCGACAGCCACAAAGTTAAGCAATTCCATTTCTCTTGTTCTGTGGTTGTGGAAAACTATTTGAGGAAATATTCTTAAAAGAAGAAGAATTTGCTGGGCTCAAAGCTTTGAAGTTTTCAGTGGTCACTGGGTTCCCTTGGTAAAGAAAGAACTTCTGAATTCCAGACTTTAACCATTCACTGAAAACTACTGGTTATACGGTAAACAAGGGCTCTGAGCCCTGTGCTGCTCTTGTGACCTGAGCACCTCACTTTGACCCCTAAATATCCCACTCTGCCGTCCACCCAAGACACTGAATGAAGGTGGATGTGCCTGAGTTAGCATGTCAGCGTGCCGGAACTGTCTTGTATTAAAAACACTGAGAATAAATGACGGTGTAGGAGATAGTTCAGACCTAGGGATGAAAGGCCAAGATTATGAGATAAGGGTGGATCCAACCTCCTAGTTCCCCAGCTGATGCTGCAGAGGTGGCTTGGGATAAAATGTGGAACTGAGCAGATTTCCAGGAGATCTGAAGGCACAAACTCTCGGGGTTCGGGTCCACTCGGCTCCTAAGGGTTAAAACTCAGAGTCAGGCTGAGTATTCAGGTGCAATGACAATGTGTCTGGTAAACACTGCACATTACATCTGTGGAACTGCGTGATGAGGTACAACCAGCAATGGAGGGATGTGGCGGACCAGAGTCCACAGGAGCGAGGAGGGAGGGGAGAGAGACTGGAGAGGGAGGAGGAGGAGGAGGAGGAGGAGGAGGAGGAGCTCCAGCTGGTTGTGGAGGATGAGTATGTGGGAGCTAGGACAGGAACCATATCTCAGCAAAACAACAGCGTGTGCAGAGGATGGAAGAGAGAGTAAGCATGCACAGCTACATGTGGGGCTCAGTGAGAGGGGGGCAGGAGAGTTGGATCAGAGAGGCTCCCCCTGGTGATGATGCTTACCCCACTGGGATTTGCTGGAACACCCAGCCCCAAATACCGTTTCTCTGAGCCCAGTGAAGATGTTGGAGATATTGCTATGCAGAAGTATGCACGCTGAAGGGCTTAGCACCACAGTACAGGCTTGAGGGGTGGGGTGCCAGGGGCCCTGGTCCTTCTGTCTGAGCACAGGAAATGGGCTGACCCAGGCATTGGAGGACAGGGACCTCAGGCTCTTGAAACTCTGCTCAGCTCATAGCAGAAGCAAGTGAGTGACTGTTGGTAAATAAAAGACGGCATTTGCAGAGGTAGCCAGAGCTCCCCCCCCACACACACCCAGGCCATCTCTTGTCTGTTTGGTTCTCCGTGTGAACCACCTGCCCCCACTGCTCTTCCACAGCCAGCTTGGATCCTTGGATCCTTGACACTGGCGGGGTTTATGTGTCTTCTTTTCAGCCTTGTTTCATTGTAATTACAAAGTGACTCTCACTCTCGCTGCCTCTTGTTCCTTTTCCCTTTGCATGCAGCTTCAGAAGGCTGTGGGGCCCGAGATCACCAAGACAGACCTGGTACCTGCTTTCCAGAACCTGATGAAGGACTGTGAGGCCGAGGTGAGGGCCGCAGCCTCCCACAAGGTCAAAGGTTGGTGCTGGCAACCAGAACACAGCTAAGGTGGGTGGGTGTCCAAGGGGGCAGAGGTCAGACCAGGACAGCCAGTCTAACCAGCACCTTCCTGTCCCTTCCACAGAATTCTGTGAAAATCTCTCAGCTGACTGCCGGGAGAATGTGATCATGACACAGATCTTGCCCTGCATCAAGGTAATGGGGTGCTTGGTTGTAGGATTTGAGCTGTCACAGAGGGGGTGAAGATTGGCTTTGGGTACAATCAGAACCAAGCTAGGTTTCAGCCCCTTAGGGACACACTAGGCCTGTTTAACCATCAGGGATTCTGGCCATGGGAAATCCGAGGGTTGGTACTGACCCTCAGAGGCTACTGAGTTCCCTCCTCCACAGTGTTTGGAACCAACAGTGGCTGCTGGGAGCAGGGTCACAGAACTCTGAGAGAGGATGTGTAAAGAAGGGAGTGTGCCCCTCGTGCCCTCTTGTGTGGGAGTAGCAAGCCCAGCCTTGGTACCACAACCTAAAATTTCCAATATTGATTTGAACACTGACAGTTTTTTGGCAGAGATACATTTGTTTTCATTCCTTCCTTATAACGATACTGTGCTGGATAGTTTTAGTGTCAACTTGACACACCTGGGTTGAGGGAGCCTCAATCGGGGAATTGCCTCCATTGGACTGGCCTGTGGCCATGTCTGAGGGGCATCTAGATGAGTGATGTGGGAGGGCCCAGCCCACTGTGGGTGGTGCCACCCCTGGGCAGGTGGGCCTGTGTTGCATAAGAAAGCAGGCTGAGCAGGGGCCAAGGGAGCAAGCCAGTAAGCAGCATTCCTCCATGGCCTGTGCTCCAGCTCCTGCCTCCAGGTTCCTGCCCTGAGTTCCTACCTTGGGCTCCCTGATGAACTATGACCTGGGAGATACAAGCTGAATAAACCCTTTCCTCCCCAAGCTGGTAGTGGTCAGAGTGTTTTGTCACAGCAACTGAGATACAAACTAGGACAGAGATCATTCACAACAAATTCTTTAGTTATTAATGCATTCATTTGTCTATTTATTGAGGCAGGAGTTCACCCTTGTACCCCCGGCTGACCTGGAATTCACTCTTAGCCTAGACTGGCTTCAAATTTATAGCAATCCCAGGGCCCCAGCATCCTCCCAAGTGCTGGAAGCACTATACCTGGTTAACACATTTCTTTTAACGTACTACGTTTATAAATTCTTTGAGAATTTCAGATACGCACTGTACTTCATTTTCACCCGCATACTTTCCACACTGACCAGGGGCAGATGAATTCCCATCCCTGGGCCCATCGCCAACTTCGTGTTACTATTTTTTTAATATTTTATTATTTTTATTTTATGTGCATGCGTGTATTGCCTGCATGTAGGTAAGTGCATCCGTGTCGTGCAATGCCCGCAGAGATAAGAAGAGGCCGTCGGATCCCCTGGGACTGGAGTTACGGACGTTTGTTAGCTGCCATGTGGGTGCTGGGATTCGAACCCGGGTCCTCTGCAAGAACAAGCAGTATTCTTAACGGCTGAGCCATCTCTCCAGCCCTGACTATTTATGTTTTAATAATCTACTGGTTCCAATCTTGTCCCCCATATACAGTCACATGTTTGGCACAGCTGCTGGGGCAAGGAAAACCCACCAGGGGCCACACCACTGGCCCCGTCTCCAGAACCCGTCAAGCCAAGGCGTGGGGATCCTGAGCCTGTTCCGTCTCCACGCTGGAATGTTGCAGAGCTCCTGCGGTGTCCACAAGCCATGGTGTTGTCCCGGTGCTTACAATTTTCTGCCCCTCTTTTGGATGATCCCTGAACCTTGCTGTGTGTGATGCCCATGTCTCATTGGAGACCGAGGACTACGTCTCACCTCTGGGTAAAATGCTAAAAGGCATCAGCTGTAGAAATTGTGGCATTCTTCATACATGATAAAGATTGTTTTGATTTAAAATAGGAAGAATTTGGTCAGTGATAGGGCTCAGAGCTAGGTGACCCCAGACCCAGAAACCAGGAGGCTCCTAAGAGGAGCTCAGTCAACCAAGTCCTGCAAGTTAACAAAAGCAGCTCCTGCAAATTAATGACCACACCGATGTATTGTGATCACCAGAGTGTGGTCCGCAGGCTGACAAACAGGTTTCCCAAGCCCTTAGCTGCAATTCACCAGGTCCAGGCCCCACGCCCTCCCTGAGCAAGCAGCCCCCCAAAACAGTCCCAAACAGCAGAAAAATATCCTCTTTTTCCGCATTCTGTCCTTTTATAAGCGACCCCTCTGCAGCCATTAAGCTGCTGGTTCTTCCTCGCACCGGGGTTGAGGGCCAGGCCCGCCAAACCTATTAAAGTCTCTGTTTGCCAGAGCCCTCTTTGATTCCATTTCACAGTGACCCCGACCCCTGCCACCTTTATATCTGACAGTCAGTGACATGGGTCATTGCATAAAAGGGCTTCACGGGATGAAAAGACAGAACCAGCTCCCACAGAGTCCCCTCTGACGTCCACTCATACGGGGTGGCGTGCATAAAGGAAAGAAACCCACATGCTCACCGGAATCGCCCACACGTCCATTTCAGGCTCGAAATAATCAAAGGCAGTTTTTGCAAACTAAAAACATTAATGTTCAGCCCAAGATACATTTCAAAAACCAATTTTATTTATGTATTAACATGTTTATTATTTGGATGTTTTTGAAACAGGGTCCCCCTGTTGTCCTAGCTGGCCCAGAACTTGCTATTGTAGCCCAGGCTGGCCTCAAGCTCACGGAGATCTGCCCGCGTCGGCCTCCGGAGTGCTGGGAGGTTTCCAAGATGGTTTTTTTGAAACTAGGGAGGCCGTGAGGCTGGAGAGATGACGCAGTAGTTAAGGGTCCTTTCCAGCACCCATGTGGTGGCGAAAAACCACGCGTAATCTCCCAGGGGGTCCAAAGCCCCCGTTCTGGTGTCCGGGCATCTCATGGTATGGGTGCACTTAAATACCTGCAGGCAGTACCCTCATACACACGAAATAATACTTAATTTAACACGGTAAAGTAGGAAGGCCTACTGTTTACATAGTCTCCGTCTCAAAATCTTTAAATTGCCTCATGTTTATAAAATTTCATGGATTGATTAGGTTAATTACCAAAGTAGATATGATGAAGAGGTTAATTATGTTGTAATATCTAGGGGGGTTTATATTCAAAATAAATGTCCCATATGATATTTAGGCCAATATTGACCAAAAGTTTCCAAAAATGCTTCTGAACGTCGCATCATCCCATTTAATTTCTGCCCCGTTTACTGACAGGTTTAACTGTATTCGGAACCAAACTGCTCAGGTGTTTTGTTTTTTGTTTTTTTGTTTCTTGTGTTTTTCTGTCACACAGGAAAACTACTTAGCAGACAGGTTGTGATATCTGTGTTTGGCTTCAGCTTCCAGATGCTTTACTACGTGTGCTGAACAGGGGTGTGTGCCATCGTTTATTTAGTATCAATAATTTACTGGTGTTGGATGTTCTCAGAAGAGACGCGCAGTCACCAAGTACGTTCTCCAACGAGAGATGTCTACTTAACATCCAGCACCAAGTCACAGCTCAATTTCATTTCACGGGTTGGTTTGCCTCGTATTACTTAACGGAATGGATGGATTCGTGCAGGCAAAGGCAGATCACGTGTAAGATTTTGACATGACATTAAGCTGCTCCCAGGAAACGGGGACAATGTGGTGACCTTAAAAAATACATTCCTGAGGACGACACCCATTGACCAGACAATGTGGACGGGGAAGTTGCACAAGGTCCCACACCTACATGAAGACAATCTTTGGGTATAAGAAAGAGTCTTGTTCAGAGATGAGTTACCTGGTAAGTGGTCAGCATGGAACACGTTTATATAAAAACAAAACTAAACGGACGCACTGCATTATACAGAGAGATATTAGTGTATATTAATATTATACTATGTACCACGGGTTGGTTTGCCTCGTATTACTTAACGGAATGGATGGATTCGTGCAGGCAAAGGCAGATCACGTGTAAGATTTTGACATGACATTAAGCTGCTCCCGGGAAACGGGGACAATGTGGTGACCTTAAAAAACACATTCCTGAGGACGACACCCGTTGACCAGACCATGTGGACGGGGAAGTGGCACAAGGTCCCACGCCTACATGAAGACAATCTTTGGGTATAAGAAAGAGCTTTGTCCAGAGATGAGTTACCTGGTAAGTGGTCAGCATGGAACACGTTTATATAAAAAGAACCCAGGTCTCCTGCAAGAGCATCCGGTCCTCGTCACCACTGTCATCTCTCCAGTCTGCATATTCATTCTTCAGACCAACAAACATGTACTGACCACTCACTATAAACATACGGACGGTGTAAACATCTACTGACTGCTCACTAACACGTGGACCGTGCAAACATCTACTGACCGCTCACTATAAACATATGGACTGTAGACATCTACTGACTGCTCAGTGTAAACACGCGGACCACATAAAACACCTA